GCGAGATTAATCACCTTGGAGAATGGCAAGCCTTTCGCAGACGCAAAGGGCGAGGTTAATTACGCCGCGCAGTTCTTTGAATGGTTTAGCGAAGAAGCCCCTCGAATCTACGGCGAGACCATACCAGCGAGCATCCCGGGTAATCGAGTAATGACCCTGAAACAACCTGTGGGTGTCTGTGGACTTATCACGCCCTGGAACTTTCCTGCTGCAATGATCACGCGTAAGATTGGCCCTGCCCTCGCTGCGGGCTGCACGACAGTATGCAAGGCGCCAGCCGAGACGCCCTTCACATCATTAGCCTTGGCAGAACTTGCGCATCGGGCTGGGATACCAAAGGGAGTCGTAAACGTCGTAACCGTACACAAAAATACTCCTGAGGTCGGTGAGACGTTGATGACACATCCCACCATCCACAAAGTCTCCTTTACGGGTTCTACGGGGGTTGGAAAACTTCTGATGAAGCAGGCTTCATCAACTCTGAAAGTCTTGTCTTTGGAACTGGGCGGAAACGCGCCATTCATCGTATTCGACGATGCCGACGTCGACGCTGCGGTTGCGGGAGCCATCGCGTCTAAGTTCCGTTCATCAGGCCAGACATGCGTTTGCGCAAACCGTATCTACGTTCAGAAAGGCATCTATGATGAATTCTCCCGGAAATTCGCCGAGAAGGTCAGAGGCTTCAAAGTAGGCAATGGTTTCGAGGAGGGTATTACCCATGGGCCCCTTATCCACGATCGTGCCGTTGCCAAAGCCGATGCTCACGTCAGGGATGCCGAACAGAAAGGCGGGAAAATTGTCGTAGGGGGCCAGAAGATGCCAGACTTGGGGTCCAATTTCTACCAACCTACTGTGATTACAGGAATGACGAAAGACATGGCTATCGCGTGCGAAGAGACATTTGGCCCCGTCGCCGGTCTCTTCTCTTTTGAAACCGAGCAGGAAGTCATAGACCTAGCAAACGCTTCTGAAGTTGGATTAGCTGGTTACTTTTTCTCGAGGGATCTAGAGAGGATACACAGGGTCGCTGAAACACTCGAGGTTGGCATGGTAGGCGTCAACACGGGCCTGATTTCGGACGCGGCCTCGCCATTTGGAGGCGTCAAGCAGTCTGGATTCGGCAGAGAAGGATCAAGATACGGCATTGAGGAATATCAGCACATAAAGACGGTCACATATGGCGGTATGGGCAAGCCGCTGCAGAGCTAGGAAGACGTTCGGTGCTGGTAGACTTGCAAAAGCGAAACTATGTATTCACATGTATTAAGTAATCGCTCAAAATGAAATTTCACGAAATCTAGTATTCTCGTGTAGAAACCCCCATCTGAATGGTGCTTAACTAAGGTTAGGGGAAGGGGCTATCCCATTATACGGAATACTCGCTTTAGTGCATAGCCCCGTTTTTCACTTGTCTGAGCATCACCGACCCTCAAAATTTCCGAGAATGGAGCTCGAAACAGCATTCCATATCACGAACCACCACAATTCAGCCCCATGATACGCCAACCGTTAAGTTCGGCCATCGGCCGCTCGAGGGCTGAACTCAGCCGAGTCACAGACGGCATCGCGGCCTCTCTACGTGCCTTCTCCACCGCCCAGCAACTATCACAAGACAGCAGCAATGACGGCAACACTCCGCGAAGACAACGCGCCGCCGCCGCATTCTCCGACCTCATGGAACTAAACAAGGGAAACTCGCCGCGGCCCTCCAGTCAATCGAACACCACGTTCAGAAAACTAGACCTGCGGTCCGAATCCGCCCCCATCGCGGTTCCTAGCGCCGCCTCCGCCGGCGGCCCTAACATCATCCGCGGCGGATTCAGAGGCAGAGGCGGATTCAGTCGCGGCGGAACCATGAGCAGAGGCGGCATGATGGGCCCGGGACGCCGTGGTGGCGGCCGGCCGCGGTCAGACAGGGGCGGCGAGGGCGGACGAGGACGCAGGCGGAACCGGAAACAGGACGACGACCAGGGCGCCACCGTGGAGGAGAGCTGGTCCCCCGAGGTCGTCGCCATGCGCGAGGCCAAGGAGATCGGCTCGCTGCACCAGTTCGACCCCTCGGTCTCGAAGAGCGACCTCGTGGGCTGGGGCCCCGCCGTGCCGACGGACAAGTCCGTCTTCGCGAAAGAGAACACGGTTCTGCGGCAGGCGCGCATCCTCGGTGGCGGAGAGGGGTTCCACCCCCTCCATACGCTGCGCTCGCAGGACCTGTGGAAGCGGTATAAGGAGGACACCGGCGTGTTCTTCCCCAGCGAGGAGGCAAAGAAATGGTCGGTGGAGGTGATGGGCCTGGAGAGCCTCCCGCCGGTTCCCAAGGAGACTAAGGATGCGGTTCTCCAGGACGCTCTTCTCGGCATGTACCAAGGCCCGCAGTACGCCGACATTGCGGATCCGCTGCTTGCGGATACGCTGGGTACTGTGCGTAGCTATGTCAGGAGGGACGGTACGTGGAATTCAGATGCATCACGGCGTATCGAAGAGAAGGTTAGGAGTCTGCTGCCAGCGACAGCTACTAGTGGGGCGAGGGCGAGTGCTTAGATACGAACAAGACTTCTTCAAGACAATGAATATTGAAGACAAGCAATGAGGATGAATGTGTCCATGAGACATCTGGCTTTCGGCTCTGGCACTAACTGTACCATACCCAATTTTGTAAAAGAGCAACCCTACATAGTTTACATGTATAACGATCCATTGTGCCCATTTTACGTTCGTTGCCTCTCATGAGAAATATGCTTCCAGACAACACCAGGCTATCTAGCAAAGCTCTAGGCAGCTATCTCTTTCTAAGACGAGCCCATTTCGCCAAAACGTTGCTTTATTTAGACTCGGCGGCCTTGACGGCGCTCTTCTCAGCATCGTCTACCTCGGCAGTAGCAGCCTTAATAACCTTATCCAGCTCCTTATCGGCCGTTCTCTTCAAGTCGGGGCCAATCAAACCGTCCTTCTTCCAGGTGACGTGTTGCTTGTCCCTCTTCTGGCGGGCGGCGCGTATGCGCTCGCGCCACTCGTGGGCGACGGCCTTGACCTTCTTGACGAGGTCCTCGCGCTTCTCAGGCTCGACCTTGAGGATCAGCTCGAGCTCGTTGTCGGCGTCGCGCTGCGGCTGCTGGTTGAACTCGGGGCTGCCCTGCACGGCGCTCATGATGGCCTTGACGTAGACCGCCTCGTGGACCAGCAGCGAGACGGTGCGCCCGCCGCGCGGCACCACTTGTGCCAGCTCGCGCAGCGGGTACGATACGCAGCCCCGCTTGTCGACTAGCACGGGAAGCGCGCCGATGACGTCGGGATCGAAACGCCCGCCCGTGTGCAGCTTCTTGAAGGACGCCTTGAAGTGCTCCGCGTGTTTTTGTAGGCGGTACTCGACGTCGGCGAAGTTGAGCGGCTCCTCGGGGTTTGGCTGGGGGTGTTTCGGGCCATCGTCTGCGCTGGCCTTGTCATTGTTGCTAGTGTTCGTAGTGGCTTTCCCGTTGGATGTCTTGCCGCCGCCCCTCTTGTCTTCTTTCTTAGACTTATAGACGGCGGGAAACGCATGGAATAATCGAGTGGCGCGGGGAAGCTCGAGTGGCAGTGGCCTGTGGGCGGCGGACGCGAGGGGAAGTCGTTGGCGACATTGGCATGTGGGCTGGGTGCTATATGGTGCTGCAGCACCTGCAATGTTTGTACGTGCTGCTACATCGTAGCTACTGTTTTAAGGGTCAGCGGCAGCAATTGGAGGGTCAATTGAACGAACATACGTTATCCTCGTCTGGGATCGTGCAAGGCCTTGTCGGAGGCAACTGCGGGCTGCTGCGTTGCTCATTTTTTCGGCGCTGTTATGCCCAGCTCGAGATGCCCGCCAAAAGTGCTTCAAGCTTCTTTCGAAGCTGTTACACAGTAGGGAAACCCCCGCGTCAGCCACACACCAGCTATCGATGCAGGTAGCCACATTACAGTGCCGTATAACAACTAGATACTGTACGATATCAACAGCCAGGTTAGTCTTGATTGCTATAATCTATAGATTCGAATACGGTTTTTCCCATGTACTCGTCCGCGAGTTTGAGCGTAGATATCCGTTCTTTTGCCTCATAACCTTATTCTCTAGAATCGGGATTACACTACTACTGGCATCTCCCATACCCAACTAGTTGCTTACAACATGTTGTGAAACTAGCATATACAGGAGGAGACACTGGCTTTTTCACAAAGAAATGCCTATCCCTTATGAAACGTAACAAGGCGCGCGGTTCTTTGCTTTAGATCCCGTTTAATAGCCTAGTAAGTAGATATATAGGCATGAAGTTGAAGAAGATAGTATAATTAGAAACGACACAGTAGTCTAGAACTTGTTAGAGTCCTTAACTCCGAATACAACCTATTAATTCTGACCGGCACCTCCGTAAGGTGGGTTGGTTTGTCTTTATCTTCATTGGTTATGACTTTGCACTGCCATGAAAATCACGGCTCAGCTTCACGACCAGCTTGACAGACAGACTGGGGGCTGATGGAGTCTAAAAATTGCGAAGCTAGGAGCTGTCTTGAGTTCTATTGGTCACAACGCTACTTCACTTTCTGCCTTGTGCTCAACTCAGCCTATGGCTAGGCAGAAAAGATGTAATCATGAATAATTCGTGTAGAAGGGGACGGTCATCAGAGCACTTACCTGGAGTACCCAAGCTATTCTACAACATCCCTTGATGCAATATACTTTGCGTGCAAGACGGCTAGTTTCTCTATTGCTGCTCTGCTCTAGTCTTGAGCCACGGTGAGAAGGAATCCAATAATCGCCGGGCTATTTTCATTGTCTCTCATTGAAATCCTGCCCTGTGATCTTCATAATTTCGATGGGGAGAAACTTGTATAAGACCCGCAATTTGGCAGAATGTAAAGCTAGTGGTTGGATTAGTATTGAGGTAACAGAACAGAAAACGTAAAATGGAAACCACGACCGCCTCCTGTACCTTCCCTGCAACATAAGCACCTCCCTCGTACCTTCCTTCCAAGAACAAACAGACCATGTTTTCGTGGCCCAGTGGTTATGGCGTCTGCTTTACAATGGAATCATTTCCTGAAATCGCAGAAGATCCCCGGTTCGATCCCGGGCGAGAACAACTTTTTAGTAATACGCACTAGTATGCAGTAGTTCAGGTCGCCTTTTGCACTATGTGTTGGGTAGCGAAGTAGATATTGATGTTATAGGAGGGGGTGGGGAAAGGTAGTTCACACAGTGGGCACTGTGAGGGGTATTTTATCCACTGTCCTTCGCGCCTGCCACACATCTAGAATGAGTAAGTACCTAGGTACTTTTTTATGATTATGTAATCAGGTACATAGGTACTTAGCGAGATACTCGAGAGACCCAAAGGCTTCAGAAACGCCTTCAAATACTTCAATCTAGATAGATCAAAAGTTAGTGAATCGTAGATAACATGCCTAGTAACACCGAACTTTTCTATTCATAGCGAAGCCCGTCTTGTCTTTCATCTATGTAAATGTGGTCAAGAAACATCCCAAACCTCAATGCCGACCCCAGCAACCAAGACTCTCTCGTCATTTTCCCTATCGGGTAACCCTTCATCTTCACCTCCGTACCAACTTCTCACAACCTCCAAGTCCCCAGCGTCTGCGACGCCGCTATACCGATTGTCTAGCAAGTGAACCCTAGGAGAGGTAGACTGCCAGCCAACAAGGCGCCAAGTCTTAACACGCTGGTCGTTGCTGGTAGTGACGATCACCGCGTCCCGCCCTTCGTTCTCGAGTCGTACTATTCCTAGGCCCGTCACTGCCGCGGCGTGCGCAGAGCGGACGATAAATTTGTTGCGGATCTCATACTGGGGTGAGACTTGTTTCTGGCCATTAGGAGAAGGCTGGGAGGGGTGAGTTGCGTCTGTGAATGAAGGGGAGGTTGAACGCCGACCAGGTAGGGCGGAAGCGTTTAGAAGACCAGAATCCGCAACTGATTGTTGTATAGATATTGGTTTAGATGGAGTCAAAGAAGGAGAACATAGATGCAGCACCCCAATCGCATCATCGTCTCCGCCTGTGACAACTAGGTACGAGGTCCCGGTTTCTGTGGCGATGCTACGCATATCTAGTGATTTAATGGTGCTTTGGTGGAGTTTCGTGACAAGTGTGCCTACTGAATCCTCCTTTTCTCTCTCGGGGGTTCGCACGTCTGAAAACACAGCTAAATGGCCATCAGTGGCGGCTGTCAAAACCTGCGGGTAGTATCGATCCTTGAAGGTCAAATATCTAAGCTGCGTAAGACAGGCACCGGTATACGTCCGCCTACCAAGTAGTCGGAATCCATCCTGCGCAGAATAGAGGTAACTCTGCACCGTAGAGTTCGAAAGCGACATTGTGATGCATAATTTCAGTTCTGCCCGCGACTTTGGTGCCGCATCGATGTTTTCGGCTTCATCGCCAATGCCAGCATCCTCATCCAAATTGTACACATCAAAATCCGTAATTCGTAAATCGCCAACTTCAGAGCGATCGGGAAACACAGCCTCGCATACGACACCAAGGGGGCAGATATCGCTTTCCAGCGGCGTGATGCGCCAGGCGTAGAACTCTTCATTACCGCCGCTGCTGAAGAGGTATTGATTTTTGAACCACTTCAGTTTCTGGATGCCTGTATTATGCTTCTCCAACGCAAGCACACAGCGCAACTGCTGTTCTCCTTGGGGTTTGTTCTTCTCTCCAAGCTGCCATATCCGTATAACAGTATCCTCAGCACCCGTAGCTACATACCTCCCCGAGGCCGACACGGCCTTGATCTCACGGCCGTGGCCGCCCGTCTTTAGGGGTAGATGCGGCGCGCGTGTCTGCGAGAATATCTTCATTTGCGATGCTTTGGTGCAGACGAACCTTACGCCCTCGGGATTCCCCGCGATCTGTATCTGGTCGAACACGCGATGTCCGCCACCGCAGTCGATCATTGCGACCTCGCGTTGCTGTGTCACGTTCCAGACTATGAAGTATCTGCTTCGGAATCCGCAGAGCATGATGTCTTGTGTCCCGTCTTGCTTGTCGAATAACCATGACTCCTCGATCATGGGTCCAAATGGAGGTTTTGTCTCGTGGAGTAGGAGGACTTGGAAGGTATCTATCGTATTGAGAATCTCGTAGATCCTGTATTTCCCGTCGCGAGATGTTGTAAGAAAATAAAGCGGCGAGTGCTCAGAGGATCGTGGAAGAGGGAGGATTGAAGTAATTTTGTCACCGACTGTAACTTCTATGGTCAAAAGAGCAGAGTAATCACCATTGATCTTCCGATCAAAGACTGTAATACCACCGTTTCTAGAACCAAGTATGAGGTAGCCATGGCACCGCGCAGCGGTTGTTACGATGAATCCATCAGGTACTATTATCTCTGTACGTCTTATTACGATTCGGCTTTGGTCGAGATCGAGAATTTCTGCCCTTGAGCTTCCATATACCGTGATGAGAAGCTCAATATGCGCGTAAGTCTCTCTATCACGATCGGAGGGTGTATGAAGAGAAGAAACTATAGTATCAGAAAGGAATATTATTTCCGTGATCTTCCGCTCCGCTTTGTGTATCGAGAAAAGCGAATCGCCGCTCGCCTCGTGGTAGTAAAACAGCTCGCCGCTAAGAGCGCCAATGAAAGCTGTGGAAGATCTTCTAGAACTCTTGAGGATAGTATATGATTGCATGGCCGTTCGAGTTGTATCGGGGGTTACAATCTCTTTCCAATCTGTTCCGGCGTCAAAAGTGCCGAGAAATAAGCGACCTGACCTTGTCGTGATGAGTAACTTGTTGTCTGTGATGAATGTGAAACTTTGGAACATTTCCTTTCCGTTTCCATGCTTAAAAGAGGAGATAGCGGCGGTGGTTTCGCTGTTTTGACTTTGGCATTTCTCTATAAGGGTTATTGGAGATACTTCAATCTGCTGAACAGATCGCGGGTAACGACCGACGCTGTCTGTTGCATCACCTAGGTCTCTTGGTGTATGATTGGAATCCATCTCCACGAGGGCTATCTTGCCGTCTCCACCGCCAGTAGCTATCAGAAGACTCTTTCCATTAGAAATCATAGCGTGTGACCAGATTTGTTTTCCACTATGGTTTGAAAAGGTCTCGTGGTGCGACAACTTGAGGGGAGGTTGATCGGAGTTTGATACTCCCATATTAAGTGCCTTTGAAGGTGCCCCTAGACTAGTGTCTAGCTCGAGATGCCACTTTTGCATTGTAGCATCTTCACCAAATGAATAGATTTCAATCGGATCTCGCCTAGAAAAGGGACCGGGGTCCCTTATCTCGACTTGCCATATCCTGGATATATGACCCATAGCCATCGCGATACATCTCGAATGGCTATTGACGAGCCCTATCGATCCAACGATAGAATCGCCGAACCCGGTTTGCCTCGCGTCGGAGATTTGTGTCTCATACCCATTGTTTCTATTCGCGGGCTCGTCTTTCCATTCTGTAATATCCCAAATTCGGACCGTCCTATCGTCGCTACAACTCGCGAGTAGTCTGATTGTTTCTCCGGAACTCGTGAGTATCTCGGGCGAGATGTGAACCCCGAAAATCGAGCCTTCATGGCCCGAGAACACGAATAGAACCTCGCAACCGACCGCTTCTCTTCTTTCTAGTGTACCGTCTTGACTAACGCCGTTACCATGGTTATCGGTATTGATATTGGTCCCAAGGTGACACTTCCAAACCACAATCTCGCCGAATACTGTACCAGCAGCCACGAGGACACAGTCCCGCTCAACCCAGAAGAAATTCCCCGAGTATAATATCGGCCGCGAGGGCGACTGCACTTGTCCCAATGTGAGTGCTTTCCGATCTGCGCTTACGTGCCCCTGGATAACCTCGTTATGCGCCGTAAGCAGAACAATGTGGCTATCATCAAAAGGTGAGATACGGCCGTCGAAGATCCAATCGGGAGCTACAGCTTCGGGCGCAGATAATGCCGTGCCTACTAGCGTAGACTCCCCAAGGAAGTCGCCATGTACACTATCGTCACCATTCTTAGGGCTGGGGCAGATCAACTCCTCGACGATGCGAATAAGGAGTATTTTCACGGCGTGGCCACCCCAGATGAGGATTTGCAGGGGACTGCCAGGGCCGTTCTCAGGAGCAGTGGGCACGGAGATCCCGTGAATAGACTGGCCCTGGAAAACAGGAAATTTGCCACAAAGGCGCGGGGCCGCGACATCATAGATCTTTATATCTGTGTCTTCGGCCGCGAGCAGGTATTGCTTGTCACGCAGCGTCAAAAACGCAAGCGCCGTGATAGGGTTCAGCACATGCTCACGGCGGAGTCGGCCGGGAGGTGCCGCCTATAGAAAATAGAATTAACAACGAGATCATGTAGATATTTACTCTTTTTCACGGGCGGTAAATAAAACTGTTATGACCGGTCTTTTTGACTTCAATGATTTCTTCGGGGTTTGGTGGGACGGACGGTGCTGTGGAGACTTATCGCCTCGATGACTGGTTTTTTTTTTTTTTTTTTTTTCAGACAATCGAAAATAAACTCACCTCATGAGACATTGTTTGCGTGGCTTCATAACAAGGCCATACGCCAAAACTGGAGAGTTGAATTGTGTAGAGGCACGGTTTATGTATCGGAAAAGTTGTTAACGGAATATTACTTGTTTACAAGTGCTAATAGGCCTTTGGTTAATGTTCAGGTAGGTAGGTACTTCAAAACCAAAGCATGTGATTGGCGCTACTGAGGCTCTCAAAATAATAGTTAATTCACATAGCGGTCACAATACGAAGTTCAAGCTGTTTTAGAATACTATCATATCTTTTATTTCATTACGGCATTATCTGTCGAGATGCACCGGGTATATCCCCTTGAGACGTAGTATCGACTCTATACAACCCCACCGACGCGTAGGTTGCCCAACCCTTCGTAGCCCAACCATGCGCCGGTAAATGCAGACTATTGAACAACAAGGAAAAACCAATCCCCAGATCTATTTAATATGACACATTCTTGTCGTTATGTTCGTAATCCTCCACTTTAGACGCGAGAGTGGGAGTATGGCTCGTAAGCGAGGTCCGATCGAGCGCCACCGCGTTGAGGGGCGGCGTAGTTGTTGTTGTATCCGCTGTAACCAGA